CTAACCTCTTCCCACCCCAGACCATCTCTGTTACTGGTTTCTAGAGTGTTTTGTCACCTGCAGGTTTCGTGCATTCATGAATCATACACACATGCATATTTTCACTCCTTCCCTCCCCCCACGTGGGGGCTTTCTAGGCACGCTGTTCTGTAACTCGCTTTTTTTTTTTTCACTTAACAATTCATCTCAGGGACTGCCTGGTCATTGCGTCAAATGCTTCCTCACGTGCTTCTCAGCCACGCTGTGTTGCACTGAGTGCTGAGACTGCATCGCAGCGCCTCTCCTCTAGATGTTTCCAGTGTTTTGCGATCATACACAGGGCTGCAGGGAACAGGCATGTAAGCAGGTACATTTGTTCTTCTGCACCTGGGCCAGGGGAATTGGAGGATAAATCCCTAGCAGTGGATTGCTGGGTCAGGGGATGTGTGCACTGTGATGTGAATAGATGTCAACTCACCTTCTGTAGAGGTTGGGTCAAGTCACCCTCTCCTGAGGAAGGCAGGGAGGTGATGGCTTATCCTGACCCAGCCAAGGCCCTGTGCTTTCATTTTCTTTCTTTCTTTCTTTCTTTTTTTTTTTTTTTTTACTCTTAGCCAATCAGTTAGGTGGAAAATGGTAGCTCTGTGTGACATCACTGACATTTAATTTGAGTAAAGGTGACTGTTTGGAGTTCCTTTTCTAGATGAAGCATTTTTGCCACGCAGGGACAATGCTGAGCTGATGACATGGCAGTGCCGCTCTGGACACACTGATTCCCCAGGATGCTCATCTTCTCAGGCTGAGTGAGATGTGTGCCTGTGGATGCCTGGGATGGAGTGGCTGCCTGTGATGGAGTGGCCGCCTGGGATGGAGTGGCCGCCTGGGATGGAGTGGCCGCCTGAGATGGAGTGGCTGCCTGGGATGGAGTGGCCGCCTGAGATGGAGTGGCCGCCTGGGATGGAGTGGCCGCCTGGTGGAGAGCAAGGTTTTTGAGTGCCCATTCCACTACTTACTTTCTGACCCTCGGATTTCCACTTTGTGAAAAATGGAAAGAATAATAGAACCCACTTCAGAGAGCTCTGAGAAGGATAAATTTAAGTTTTTAATGTGAAATGCCTGGCACAGTTCCTGGCTCAGAGTTAGTGCTTAGGAAATGTTTGTTGAATGAATAAATTAAAGATATATAATCATCTTAAAAACTTTTATTGAGTACTTATTATGAAGGCTTTCTCACTTATTAACACATTTAAGCCTCACAATGACACCAGGAGGGGAACTTTTATTATCCCCCTTTAAAGATGAGGAAACTGAGGCATAGAGAGAGAGATACAGGATCTTGCCTAAAGGCTCATTTGGTGGCAGTCATTGTTGGTGACAGGATGTGTGGTCGTCTGTCTGCTCTTCCCCATCTCATTTCCCTGCCTCCCACTCTAGGAGAGAGGTGCCACCATAAACCCCATTCCAGCTGTCCACGGCATGAAGCAACCCTCCCCAACCTCAGAGGCACAAACAAACAATCATTTTATCATATGCCTGGGTTCTGAGGATCAGGACTTCAGACAAGATAAGGTGGGCAGCTTATCTCTGCTGGGCCTTAGATGGGAGGACTCTGTGGCTGGGAGGATTCGGGGGAGGGTGGCCGGGGTAAAACAGGAAGGACTAGAAGACCCACTTGCGAGAAGGCTTTTCAGTTGCAAGTGTGGCTGGAGGATCCATTCTGCCTTATAGATGGTAGTTTGGCTATGGCTCTGGGTGAGGGTGGGAGTCATCGGGGACTGAGTGGGAGCCAGCAGACCCCAGGGCTGAGTGCACATGTTCCAGGATCCGACAGCGTAGAAGGCTTAGAAATTCCAGGGCTGATACCCCCAGTTTTGCAAGTGCTGTTTGCTCCCCCTCCCCACCCACCTCGTTAACATCTCACGCTCTTCAGTTCTCAGCCTGGCTGTCTGGTCCTGGAGGAGGAGCTCCTTAACCCCTGTGCACTGTAGATGGGGTTTGCTAGATCCTGTCTGCATGGAAGGTCTTATCACATCGTTGGAACTGACTGCAGACTGAATGCTTGGAGGACAAGACAGGGTCTTTATCACCAGCACCCAGCACAGTACCAGGCACACAGTAGGTGCTTTATGTACATTCATTGAATGAATGAATGGGTGAGACTGATAGATTTGGAATGATTTGAACTTGAGCCTCAGCTTCTCCTTCTAGAAGTTAGCTGGCCCGGTAGCTGTAAAGGTGGCAGGGGTAGGAGGGAAAAGTGAGGTTAGTAAGAGGAATTCAGAAAAATGGTCGTCATGATTTGTGCTGAGGAGAGAAAAACAAAGGAAATGCGACACTGCATCTGAAATGCTTAGCAATGCTTGGCACGTAATAGGCTCTCCATAAATATAAGATGATGTCACCATCTGTATCCTTATCACTACTATTTTTATTATAAGATGCACATTTCCTGAGTTAGAAGGTCCACATAGAATGGCTTGAGATTCTCCTCTGGGCTGGGTGAGGTGGCTTAAGTCTGTAATCCCAGTACTTTGGGAGGCTGAGGCAGGAGGATCACTTGAGCCCAGGAGCTCCAGACCAGTCTGGGCAACATAGCAAGATTCTGTCTCTACTAATAATTTAAAAATTAGCTGAGTGTTGTGGTGTGCATCTGTAGTCCCAGTCACTCAGGAGGCTGAGGTGGGAGGATCACCTGATCCCTGGAGGTGGAGGCTGCAGTGAGCCGGGATCACACCACTTGACCTCCTGTCTGGGCAACAGAGCTATTAAGGGATCCCATCTTAAAAACAAAACAAAACAAAACAAACAAACAAAGCGGAGAAAAGAAGTTTTATTCTAAGTGAAAATGGAGGGGTGTAATCCCCACAGGTCACCTGGGCAGGAAGTCATGTCGTGGTGACTCACCCGGGATGCTGGGTTTGGGTCCTCCTCTGAGTCACATTTCCTTTCTGTGCAAGGAAGGGCCCGGGACAGGGACCTCTGAGACTGGCACTGCACGTCTAAGAAGGCCATTCAGCTGAAGTCCCCAGTGCAACTGCTGTCCTTCAGCCTGAGGCAGTCCTTCCGTCTGAGGCAACCTCTCCCCTGCCCTCCGCTGCCCTCCACCCCTCTCCAGCCCTGCTAGGAGAGAACAGCAAGTCCCCCAGTTTCAGAAACGCGCTCCTTTACCAGCCTGGCTGCGATCTGTTCCTGATTGATTGGCGCCCTTCAGTGGCAGGCTGTGGGAACGACATGCAGGGCCGTGGCGAGCAGTCAGGCCAGGATGAAGATAGAGTGAGCGGGTCGGGGGTGGCGGTGGGGTCCGCGGAGAGTGCCCTGGTGTGGCCCAGTTGGAAGACGGGACAGGAAGAACTCAGCAGGGATCCCTCAGCTCTGGCCAAGGGGTTGTTCTCTCCCTCTGGCTTAGCATCCGGAGGGCCAGTAGCAGCGGAGCCTTCCCTTGGGCTCTGCCCCGACTGCCTTTCTTTGGCTGTGTGACCCCACCCCGTTTCTGAGCTTCTCTGTGAACTTCTCCAAGCTAGGCTTGTAAGAAGGGAGTGAGTGATGCCCACCTGGCCGCAGAGTCTCCTTCCCAGAGAGGCGTCTCAATCCTCCAGAGAATGTGAGAGAGGCTGGGATTTGAAAGGATTGGAGCTGGGGGCAGGGAACAGAGTCTGAGATGGAAAGGTGTCAGGAGGGGCTTGAGCCCTGAAGAAGAGATTTCATCCTGTAATTTGAAAATATTAAAAACGTCCACAGCCCCAGATGAGGACAGAGCACCGGCCCCCCTGAGGGAAAAGAACATGGACAGGGAATTGCAGGACTGGAAACTTCCACTCTTATCTTGGTCTTTTAGAATTGTGAAATGTGGAACGTTCAGCATCCTTTAATTGGAATCTTAACAGAAAGCGCTATATAATGTATGTGTGTGTGTGTGTGTGTGTGTGTGTGTGTGTGTGTGTGTGTGTATTTATATTTATATTTATACATGGGCTGGGCATGGTGGCTCACACCTGTAATCCCAGAACTTTGGGAGGCTGAGGTGGGAGGATCACTTGAGACCAGGAGTTCAAAACCAGCCTGAGCAACATATTGAGACCCCATCTCTACAAAACGTAAAAAATTAGCTGGATTTGGTGGTGTACACCTGTAGTCCCAGCTACTTGGGAGGTTGAGGCAGGAGGATTGCTTGAGGCCAGGAATTTGAGGCTGCAGTGACTGCACTCCAACCTGGGTGACAGAGCAAGACCTTGCCTCAAAAAAAATAACACACACACACACACACACACACACACACACACACACACAACTCTACAGAATCTGATCATTGAGCCTTGAGGTCAGGATCAGAATTGCAGCCGCAAATCTAGACTCAGCCCTCTGGGCTGGAAATCGTCTGAGAGCCACCTCTCCCCCAAGCTTGTCCTGGATGGAATGAATGTTTGCTCTCACTGCCTGCTCCTAAACTTGCTTGCAATGAATAGATCTGGGGTAGGGCCCTAAAATAGGAATTTCTACAAACGTCCCCAGCAGATGCTGTTGGGTATTCCAGATTTCGGCAATAGATTTAATTTAGCCTTACTCTTCATGGGGAAACTGAGGCCCGGGAAGGGGAAGTGACTTGACCTAGACCCCACCAGATAGCTGGTGACAGGCTGGAGATGCCACCTGTTCCTCCCAATGCCGAGGCCACTCTCATCAGCAGCCCAGGGTGTTTAGATGACCCTGTCAACCTCCCAGGTGCCCCTGGTCCCTGAGACATGTGGTTCGTGGAACTGTGAGGTTCTGGGGCTTGAGGTGTTACCCTCTTCTGCCTCTGGCTGAACTCGCTTCTTGAGAGGGGCCTGGAAGGGCTGAGGGTTGCTCCTCTTTTATCAGCTCCCCCCAGGCTGAAACCCCACCCCATCCCCAATACCTCCTGACCCCTCTCAGCTCCAAGCATTCCTGTGAAAACCACTCCACATGTTTTAAATCCTGCTACTCCAGACTCATCAGGATCACAGTTTTGCAACAACACCCTCTTGATACTCAAGAAACATTTGCAAGTTTCTTTTCTCTTTATTAAAATTAAAAAAAAAATGTTAGGGTCTTGAAACAATACAATGGAGCATTTCAGAGACACAAATATTTGCAGAAGAGAAGCTGGTAGCCTGGCCAGGTGAAGGAGCTGTTCTCAGGGAGGTGAGGGAAGGGAAGTCAGGGAGAGGGTGGGCATTTTTTGGCCAGGTGGAGGGCAGGTCTGAGGGTGGGCACTCTCTTGGGGTGGGTGGGGAGTAATGTTTCATCACCTAGAGGCTCTCCCCAGCCTGCTAACCACCTTCCTTCTCCAGGCCACCCCTGGGCCCCTCAGAGCTCTGACTCTTGCTTCTCCTGCCCATTCCTGTCCCAGCTACGGATCCCTATGCCTTCAGGCTAGCCAGTCATGGCGAACACAAATCCCCTTCCTGAGGATTCCGGGGAGCAGAGCAGGAAGCGGGTGTTACATGGCAGAAGGACAGGCAGTGAGCACGAACTTGCTTCCAAGCTGGGTCTGACCTGGAGACTCCTCCCAGCATCGTTCCTGCCCAGGGCGAGGGTCGTCACAGGAAGCACAGATGCTCAGGGAACCTGGTGGTGGTGCAGGGATCTTTCCTTGCTCCCGACCCACAATTCGCTACATCCCCCCCGCCGCCCCACATGACCCCCAATGTCTCCTCTCAGCCGTGGGTGTGTTGAGCAGAGCCGTCAGACAGAAGCAGAGCCTGAGGTTTCGTGTGATGCTAGGCATGCCCCTTCCTTCTCAGGCCTGTCTCCCCACGTGGGCAGGAGAGATGAGTTGGGGAACGGAGCTGCTGGATAATCTCAGTGTTCCTTTCGGTTTCAATGGCCTTTTCTGGGCTGCGCGGGTGGATCCTCCAGCAGTGACAGCCTACCTGATCCCGCTTGGGAAAAAGGGGCATGGGACCTGTGAGAGGGAGGCCTGTGCAGGGAGGGCTGATGGGGGTGGCAGGCAGCTTGCAGAGGATGACCTGGCTGGCCCAGGGCTGGCTGCCCAGCAGAGGCCAGGTCATGGCCCTCCACGGCCAGCTGGGGGAGGTGGCCAGGCCAGGCCTCTGGAAGCCCTGGAGCCTTGGGGCAGCCAGCTCCTTGGGGCAGCCGGTGGCTGAGGGCTATGGAAATGACCTCTGGGGACTGTCCAGAGAACCAGATGCTCACAGCTCGGGGTTCTGGAGCCCCTTCCCCCAAGCAGAGGCAGGGCCCTCAGGACTCACCTGTGCTGTGGCCCAGGCTTTGCCCCCTGGAAACCCTTTCTCTGCAAAGATGGGGTCAGGGAAAGGCCTGGGAAAAGATGTTTGCTTTCTTTAAGGAGTAGAGAGAGAGAGAGAGCTGCAGGGGAAGGCCCAGGCTCATGGTGTCTCTTTAAGCATGTGTGAGAGAGACGAGAGAAGGGGAGGGAGAAAGAAGGAGGCGGTGAAGGACAGGAAGAAACACAGGAAGAAAGAAAAAGACAGATAAAAGATAAGCGAGAAAGAAGAGGGAGGGAGGGAGAAGGAGAGGAGAACTGGGGTGGAAGAAATAAAGGAAATACAGAAGAAAGGAAAGTGGACGGTAGACCGACATGGAAAAATGACAGAAGGGTGGGGAGAAGAGAGGGCAAATGGAGAAGGTGGAGGAGGAGGGGCAGGAGGAGGAGGAAGAGGAGGAGCAGGAGGAGGTGTGCAGGGGCCGAGGACCAGGACCAGAGGCTGGGAGAGCTGCCGTCAGGGCTGCAGGCCGGGCTGCTGCGGCCTCATGTCCAGCCTGCGGTCCAGCTTCCTGTCCTTGCGGGGACGCCGGTCCTTCCTGCCCTTCTTCTGGCCGGGGTTCCTCTCTGCAATGAGAGCACAGGGCCCGGTGACCGAGGCTGCAGGGCCAGTTAGGTCCTGGGAGCCTCCTCAGTTCTGAAAGATGAGGGTGCCCCACCCACTCCCCAGCAACGGGGCTCAGAAGAATGTTTGGGCGCTGACCTTGCAATCCCTCCTGTTGAGAATTTGGACCGTGGGCTAAGTGACCCCAAACAGCCTTTCTCTCTAGTTCTTCAGGGAGTGGCAAGGGCCACTACCTTGCTCGGGGCCCTCCAGTGCGGGGCATCGGGCTTGGCCAGGCCTGCAGGTTCACATGAGGGTGCCCCAATCAACACGCAGGGTGGCCTCCTGGGGGTCCCCGTGGCTTTCCCGGGCACACCTGCTCCACAGCTGAGCAGGCTCTGTGCCGGACACGGGTCATCTTTCACCTGTGTCCCTGCACCACTTCTCCAGAACACTGGGGCAATAACACTTGAGCATTTATCGAGTGCTCACTGCAGGCAGGCCACAGCCCTGAGTGCTTTATGCATACGAAACGCACAACAGCCGGGAGAGGCAGGCAGGGTCTGCCCCACACCCTGTCCCATCTTCTCCATTTTTCCCCTCTTTCTCCCTACCCTTCTATCATTTCTCTGTGCCAGTCTACTTTTTCTTTCTTTTTCTTCTTTATTTCTTCTACCTCCATTCTTCTGTGGCAGGGGTGGGCTGGGTGCAAACCCAAAACTTAACTCTGAATCTTGAACCCTGTGTGCTTTCCCACTCCCCGATCCTGGCCCCCGACCCTGTGGTGCTGGGCTGAATTTATTCTAACACAAACATCGATTAGTGTCATTTCTCAGATGAGGTTACTGAGGCCCAGCAAGGGGAGTGACTTGCTCAGAAACTGGAGTTTCTAATGTCTAGCCCTGTGCTTTCCCTTCTAGGTGACACACTGGGGCAGAGGGGACACATGGGAGGAGTGGCAGAGTGCCCAGATGCTCTTTTGAAGAGCAAATGAGATCTGGCCTGTGCCCCAGCACCCCCAGGGGCTCCCAGCTCACTTGACGGAGTCCTCTGCCTGGCCTGCCTCGCCCTCTCCTTCCCTGACCTCACCTCTGCCTGCACATAGCGTGTGCACAGTCAACACTGCCGGTTCCGGGTCATTACTACTCACCATTCACATCTTACCAACCACACCCTGTGGCCTCTCTGTGTAAATCAGTGGTTCTTAACAGCCCCCAGAGGCATTTTGGAAATATATATACTGGTTTCGGAAGCCATAATGAAGGGGGATCCTGTGCATTCAGTGGACGGCAATCAGGGTGCAGTGTGGGACAGTCCCCCGCAAAGACCAGTGGTCCCCCGTTCCATCCAGTTCCCTCACATCGTGCGCCACCCTACGTAGCTGAAAGGTCTGCTTGCTGGGAGCTGAATTCTGTTTTACCCATGAATGCCAAGCGGTTTTGAACACTTCCATTCACTGAAGATTCTAGGGCACTGTCAGTGCGCTGCCAATCAAGAGAGCAGTTTGCTTGGACTTTATTAATCACGGTCACTTTTGGGAAATCGCGTCTCTGATGGCAATGTGGCCACGCTTGTGGGCTGCTGACCACGGCCGCAGTCCTCACTGGGATTCTGCCTCGCTAAGTGTCTGCTGCTGTGTTGGGCCAAGCGCTTCCACCAGGATATTTCTTTTCTTTCTCCCCCCTGTTACAGTTAGGGAATTAAACTGATTAAAACATTACCTTTGAAAAAATTACCTTTGCAAGTAGGCTACGCTCTCCATGAACTTCATTAAGAATAGTAAGGAGGATATTCCCAAATCCTTCTTATTAAAAGTGGGGGGCGGGTGTTCAGTCTGAGAGGGTTGGGACCTTCTGGCCAGCTCAAGTTTCCTAATATATTTGGGACTGAACCCAGCAAGGAAGGTCCTCCTTTGAAAGGACACCACAGAAGGCAATGTGTACTCCACATGATGATATGGCTACTGGTGGCCTTTCAGGCAGTCTCCCAGGTACTATTCGTGGGGCAGTGTCCTGAGGTCACTCTGTCCCTTACCCACCACAGCCTCACATGCCTGTCCTGGGGCTCACCTCCTGGGCAGGGCCTCTGGATGGGACATTTCCTTGACTCCGACAGCACCTGGCAGGTGGCTGTCTCCTCCTGCCCAGCCCGGCCAGCCTCTCGTATCCGGGTCTCCAGGCCCCAAGCAGAGCCGCAGATCTTTCCGTTGTGTGTGCAGGGGCTCCAGCCACCCCAGGGACCCAGTTCACACTCCCCTGTGGGGTGAGAGGAGAGATGGACAGACAGGGTCAGCTGGCAGCGAGGTCCTTCAGATCCAAGGGCAGGGTTTGAGGGATTCAGTCCTCTGAAGACTGAAGACATCACTTCTACCTGCAAAGGATTTGGTCTACTGCTAGGAGCAGGGGGCATTTAAAAAGTTATTTATAAGAGCGTGGAATGACAGCTAAACTAATGCATGCACAGACTGCTATGAGCCTGAAGCCAGAGTGGCCTACTGTCTAGCTTTAAAGGGGAAGGCTTCCCAGAGGAGGTGATGTGTGAGTTAAAGGGAGAGAGGGGGAACTGTTCATGTGAGAAGAAGGAAGCTCATTCCAGGCAAGTGCACAAAGCCTAGGGAGACTGGTCCACCATGTTTGGGAGATGGGGCAGCCAGAGCTGGGAGTGAAGTCTTGGGAGGGGAGGGGCAGGAGAGGAGGCTGGGAGGTCACCTGGGAAGTCCTCAGGACCAGGACACAGGTTTTGAACTCGATGGTGTGCCTTTGATCAACTTTGTAAGGCAGAAGCAACCCAGCAATGCAGTGAGAAAGAAAGAGGCCATAGACATAAACGTTCTTCATAGGGGGAAAATGTGTGTGTGTGTCTCTCTCTCTATATATATATATAGCCTTTGATCATTTAAAAAGTCCGTGAGAAGTAGGCACAGAATATAGGTAGCTATGAATACTCCTGTTTTGCAGATTTGGACACTGAGGCCTAGAGCAGGGGTTTGCTAAGGGAACGTAGTAAGAGGCTCACACAACAGATGCAGCGAGTTCAAGACGCAATTGATAAGTATAGACTGAGCCCTCAGTGCGTGCCGGGCGCTGTTCTGGGTGCTGAGGGAGCAGCAGCAGATAAGCAGCCCAGGGTCTGCAGGCCTCTTGGAATTCACCATCTGGACACCACTGTGAGGAGGGAAGCGCAGGCACTGTGGGAGCTCAGAGGTGGCATAAGTTGGGTCACAGGGGAGGAAACTCCTGGACTGGGTCTTGGAGTGGGGGTGGGATGGCAGGGAAGGGGAGGCCAGCCAGGCTCAGGAAGGGACAGGAGGTGCTCCGGGTGAGGGAATAACCCCAGCAGAGTGGATGATATGACCTGGAACTGGGCAAGCTGGAGAATGAACTCAAATGGAGGAGGAAAAAAATGATGGAGGTGGAAAGGCTGGCAGATGAGACATTGCCCAGGGCCGGGGTGGGCTCTGCCCGAGGGCAGTGGGAGCCACTGAAGGTTCCTGGGAGGAAAAGACTGTCATTTTGAAATACTCCTCCTGCTGCTGAGTGGAGAGTAGGCCGAAGGGACTGAAAGCCGAGGCAGAGACAGGCAGGAGCTGTGGCCAGAATCCTGGCGATAGGCAGGGGGTGGTGAGAAGGCGGGAAGGCAGGGAACAGAGGAGAGAAAAAAATGGGCGGGGCTGGGGTGGGGAGAAGGGGATGAGCCGGGTGGTGTGGGTTTGGGAGCTTCGTGCTGCTTCGTTTTTCCCCCAAAGTTCTTCATGTCACCCAAAATATTATGTGTTTGTTCTCAGGTGTCGCTTCTGTCTCTCCACTGAAATGTCATGTTCATGAGTGCAGAGATTTTGTTTTGTTCTCTAACCTGTCCCCAGCATCTAGGAAAGTGCCTGGCCATAGCAGATGCTCCAGTAGATATTTTCAGAGTGAATAAGTGAACAGATTGGATTGGGTATAAGGTGAGGGAGAGAGAAGAGACAACAGTGATGCCTGCGTCTCAGGCACGGCTGCCCAGAGGTCATGGAGCTGGTTATTGAAACCCAGAGGAAGTATTAGGCGGGGGATGGTGGCAGTGGGAGTGGAAAGGAGGCACCCAGAGGACAGTGGAGGTGAGGCTCTGCTGCTCAGGGAGGCTGCAGACAGTAAGTCAGTGGCCATCAGCAGCTGGAATGACCATAAATGAGCCCGGAGGGAATGCATGGGCAGAGATGCACCGCTCAGATGAGAATGCCAAAGAACAGTCTCGTGCAGGAACAAAAGAGGGCTCACAGGCAAGAGTATGACAAGGAGCTGTCAGAAAATAATCAAAGCAGTAGTAACACCGATACTGACATGTACTGAGCATCTACTGTGTGCTGGTTGCTGTACTGAGCACTTTTAATGGTACGAATTCACTTAATCCTCATAACAATTCCTCCCCATGAGGTAGGCTTTATGTTCTATTGTCCTTTTTTTTTTTTTTTTTTTTTTTAAACATTTGGAGAAACTGAAGGACAAAGAGCTAAGGTGGTTTGCTTAAGATCACTAAAGGGTAAGGTTTAGAGCTAAGATGGGCTCCAGGCCTGTCCTATTCCAAAATCAGTGCTCAGCCAGGTGTGGTGGCTCACAGCTCCACTCCCAGTGCTTTGAGAGGCTGAGGTGGGAGGATTGCTTGAGCCCAGGGGCAGCCTGGGCAACAGTGCAAGAGCCTGTCTTTACAAAAACATAAAAAAATAGCCAGCTGTTGTGGTACATGCCTGCGGTCCCAGTTACTAGGGAGGCTGAGGCAGGGGAATCCCTAAGCTTAGGAGTTTGAGACCGCAGTGAGCTATGATCACACCACTGCACTCCAGCCAGGTGACAGAGCAAGACCCTATCTCAAACAAAACAAGCAAATAAAAACAAAACAAAACAAAATCAGTGCTCTTCCTCTGCACTCTGCTGATTCCCTTGGCAATAATAATGATGCCAGTGTTGGGTTGTAGTAGTAATCACAGTAACGGTGGTTACGTTGGCTCTAGTGTATCACAGTTACTATGTGTAGGTACCTGGTGTACTTGACGTGGTGGTGCTGGGCCACCCACCACCACATGGCATTCGATAGTGATTTCTTCCAGACCTCCTGACACCTCTTACCAAGTGCCCACTCCAGGGAGGGAGGGGCAGGGGCAGGGCGGGGAGGTCTCCACTCACCCTGGCACTCCTGTGTGTTCTGGTGGGCCAAAGTGCCTGGCGGGCAGGTGGGCAGACACTTCCCCTTGTACAAGTAAAACTGCCTCTTGCACCGGATGCAGAAGTCCTGGCTGAAGCAGCTCTCACAAGTGGCCCCACATTCTGTAACAGAGCCAGGGACACCCCGGGTGAGGGAGACTGCCAAGGACGGGGCCCACTGGGTCTGCCCGAGGTGGGAGGGCCTCTGGGTAGCTCCAGGCTCGGTAGCATTCAGGTCAGGACTCAGTATCTCCTTTGAAGCCCAGATTTGGCCAAGGTCAAACTGGGCTGCATGTGATGAGAACTCCCTTCCTCAATTGAAGGGAGGCTTGGAGAGACCAAGTGACCTGCTCGAAGCCACCTGCAAATCTGGGCTGAAGTGAGGACTCCCTGCTTCTTTTCCACCTCAGGAATAGTGACGATTTGTCCAAAGTTATGGCAAAAATTAGAGTTTGGAATTAGGACTCCTTTTCCTATTTGACCTAGGACCAGAGAAAGTGAGTTACATGCCTAAGGCCACACCACAAACTAGGGTAGAAGTGAAAGTTCCCTGCTCTATTAGTGCCAATTAAGGCTGAGAGGGGACTGACTTGCCTCAGGCTGCAGAGCCAGCCTGGACTCAAGAGGTATCTCAGAGTCTGGGCTTAGGCATACACGGACTTCCCCTCTGGCTGTGGTGGGGTGAGAGGGTGGGATCTGAGCCTGCGGTGTCTAGGAGCCCAGCACTAGCATAGAACGAGGGAGGAGCCACGTACTTTTGCACCTGTTGACCTCCTGGCCGCGGATGCCGAAGTAGCCAGGGGGACAGTCGTGCAGGCACTTGCCGTACTGGCGGATGCCTTCCCGGCGGATGAACAGGAAGAGCCTCTGCTGGCAGGTGGAACAGCCGTTCTCCTCTGAGCAGATGATACAGCCTGTGCAGTTGCCCCCCAGGCCAGTGCCCACTGCCCGCCACGCCAGGGCAGAAGGAGAAGGAAAGGGAGAGAGAGATGATCAAACCGTATGTGTGAGCAGCTGAGATGGTGTCATTAGGATAGTAACTGGGCACATATGGCCACCCAAACAAAAGACTACATTTCCCAGCTTCCGTTACAACCAGATATGGTCAGGTGTCCAGAATCTGGCCAATCAGATGTAAGGTTAAAAAAAAAGCACCTGGGTCCCTAAGGAAGGCAGAACTGCTTTACCAGCCCTAGCCTGCCTGTGTAGACTGTTACATGAGTGAGAGAGAACTCAACATTTATTTTACTTAAATAACTGTGGTTTGCAGTTTTCCATTACTCACAAGCAAACTTAATCTTTACCAAAGTAGTGTGTATTTTTGAGTGTGTGTGGGGTGGGGTGAGACCCTCACCCTCCCGCTGGGTTCCTGAACAATACTCAACAATATGCCATTTCTCATTGTCACCATCAGCAAGGGCTCCCACCATCATCAGGAATAGCAAGGGGAGAAATTTAAGTAGAAAACTTTTCATTGCCCCAGAATTGGCACCCAGGACCCAATGATGGGGAAAAAAGAGATGGAAGTTGCTCTAGAATCTTAAGTGAGTCTTTTCCAGGCTCACAGGAAGTCTCTGTTACCCTGACCATCACCTCAGGACCCTGATTAAGTTAAACACTTGCAAGGAGGGACTCAGGGAGTTAGGAATTGTCTACAGATACAGTGGCTCATGCCTGTAATCCCAAAAGCATTTTGGGAGGCCAAGGTGGCAGGATTGCTTGAGTCCAGGAGTTTGAGACCAGTCTGAGCAATATGGCGAGACCCTGTCTCCACAAAAAATACAAAAATTAACCAGGCATAGTGGCACACACCTGTAGTCCCAGCTACTTGGGAGGCTAAGGTGGGAGGATTGCTTGAGCTGGGAAGGCTGCAGTGACCTGTGTTTATGCCACTGTACTCCAGTCTGAGCAACAGAGTGAAACCATGTCTAAAAAAAAAAAAAAGAAAAGAAAAGAAAAGAAAAAGAAATTGACAGCCTAGGGAAGTGAGTCATCGTGCTGTGACTTCTGTGTTCCCAACCCTCCAAACCAAGTGAGCAGATGTCAGGGAAACTCACAAAGACAGGGGGTGCCTATAAGAAGGTGCCAGCATCTCATGCCCTGCTTGGACATAAACTCATGTCCACAGCCCTGCGAATCTGCCCCCTTCTCATTCCTCTGAGCAGAGAAAGGAGACCAGGAGACAGAAGGGCAGAGCTGAGGGGGAGAGTGTGGTAGAAGAGCCTGCTCATCCTTCCCAGCATGTATGAGGGGGTTCTCAGTGGCAAGGGGTACCTTTGGAGCAGCCAGGCTTAGGTGGTATTACTGCTGCCTGGCACAAGAAAGCTGGGTACTGGGAGTTGCCCCAGCAGTAAAAGGCAGCAAGGGAGACCACTGCAAGTAGGAGGTGGGGGAGAGTCAGAAAGGGACCAGGTGTCATTAAGTGACAGGAAAGGACAGGGTAGCTTTTGAGAGGTAGCAACTGGGGAAACAGTAAATGGTGTCACGTTTTTATGTCGTTAGGTTCAGACTGGTTAATAATCCCATTACACACCTTGATTCACCTGAGCCCCAAGACCACCGAGCAGGACACATTCTTGGCTCTCCAGCTCCCAGATGCTCTCCTCTTGCTATTGGTGCCCCATCTTTTTTTTTTTTTTAAGAAGAATTCCCCATTGTCCTGGTCCTGATGAGGAACACAGTGCAAGGTCCTGACGAGGAACACATCCTGGCACCTTCCCCCGGAACAGAAACCAAAACAGGTCTGGCCCTTCTTTAAGTTGCCAGCAGGGGAGAGCTAATGAAAGCCTGGCCAGATACACATTCTGGTGACTCCAGTCCTGAGAGTGGGATAAAAGAGTGAGGGTCACATGGGAATGGGGTTCATGGTGAAGGCAGGGTGAGCTCTCTGCTCAGCCCTGGCTGAGGCCCTTCTCTCTTCCTTCCATCTCTCAGTCCCTCTGTTCCTTCCTCCCTGCTCCAGCTTTCAGAGGAGTATTACTACTTCCCCAAACCTCATCGTCTGCTCCCTGGGTATGGCAAGGCCCCACATCCTGCTGATAACCTGATTTCTGTTGCTTACAACTCAGGAGCATGACTGATCCAGGGTCACATGGAGGTTCACCGTAACTAATGTGTATACTGGGATCCTGTTCCCAGGCAAAGTTAGCAATGCCCTCAATTTTCTAGCTCTGGTATGAGAAACTACAACAGGAGAGCAGAATAAAGATTTTTGTGCTTCTGGAGCTGTATATCTGGCAGGTACCTGAGGGCAGAGAGCAAGTGTGATGTTGTAAGAGGGACTCCTAGAGCCAGAGAGATAAGAACATCCACTGAGAATTTAGCAGAGTCCAGACTTTTCACTCAGCAAAAGATTCAGATTCTGATTCTACCAAGAGCTGGCAAGAATGACAGGAAGCTTTCAGCTTAGATAGGAGTGTAAACTTTGGGGAAAAATCTAGCAGTATGTAAAGAATTTGAAGATGTCTCTATTCTTTGTGTGTTAAAAAGTTGTTGTTTTTTTCTTTTTTAAGACAGGGTCTTGCTCTGTCACCCAGGCTCCAGTGCAGTGGCATCATCCTGATTAACTGCAGCCTCAAACTCTTGGGCTCCATCAATCCTCCTGCCTCAGCCTCCTAAGTAACTGGGACTACAGGCACATGTCACCACACCCAGATAATTTTAAAAATTTAACGTAGAGACAGAGTCTCTCTGTCTTTCCCAGCCTGGTCTTGGAACTCTTGTCTCAAGTGATCTTCCTGCCTCAGGGTTCCAAAGTGTTGGGATTATAGGCTTGAGCTACCATGCCTGGCCTGATGTCCCTTTTCTAGATGTAATAATTTAGTTTCTGGTATATACCCTAGAGCAGCAGTTCTCAAACTCTGCCACATGACAGCAGTTCCTAGTGAGCTTGTTGGAGTACAGGTCCCTGGGTTCCATCCCTGACACATCGGATTCAGTAGGTCTGAGAATCTGTATTTCTAACAGGTTCCCAGGTGATGCTAATGTTGCTGGTCCAGGGACCATGCTCTCAGAACCACTGACCTAGAGAAACCTTTGCATATGTGTACACAGAGACAAAAACATTTATTGCAGCATTATTTAATAGCAAGCAACTGCAAAAAGCTAACCCTCTGCCAAAGTAATAGATAAATACATTGTGGTATAGCCATATACCACAGCCAGATACCACGTACACAACCCAGCCATGGTAAATGACTGAGGTAGCTACAGTTACCATTGTGGACACATCTCAAAGACGGTGCTGAGGGGAAAAAAGCAAGATGCACAATGAACCATACAGTAAGGGCATTTATACAAAGTTCAAGTACCTGCAAAGCAGTATTTTGTAGTGTTTATGACTCGTAAATATGTATTCAGAAGCCACGAGACTAACAAACACTGAATTCAGGAAAGCGGCACAAAAATGTTTATTATATTATTTTAAATTCTTGACTGTAGGTTTGAAATAGTTCGTCCCAAAAACACATGAAGAACAAAATAGTTTAGCCTCTACTGTGTCCTGGGGAAGGAGGAGGCCTACATTATTTTTTCCCCTTCTCCACTAGCTGTCCTCCCAAGCCCTGTCCCATCCTCAGGCTGAGGTCCTGAGCAGGGGAAGGTGACAAATTCTGAAGATGTGGGACCTGGGTTCCAAGAGCAGTGGCGGCTGGTGCCTCTGAGCACTCTTAGTCGTCCCCTATGTCCACTCTCCCCTCATCTTCTGTAGTGGAACCCTGATTTTTATGTTATTTTTTGCAGCAAGGTCTTGCTCTGTCCCCCAGGCTGGAGTGCAGTGGTGCGACCTTGGCTCACTGCAGCCTGGACCAACCAGGCTCAAGCAATCCTCCCTCCTCAGCCTCCCAAGTAGCTGGGACTACAGATGCACACCACCATGGCTGGCTAATTTGTGTATTTTTTGCAGAGAAGTGGTTTCACCATTTTGCCTAGGCTGATCTCAAACTCCTGGGCTCAAGCAGTCCTCCTGTCTTAGACTTCCAAAATGCTGAGATTACAGCCCTGAGCCACCGCGCCCAGCCGGAACCCTGTTATTAAGTGGAATCTGTCTTCTAAAACTACATTTCCCAGGCTCCTTTGCGGCTATATGTGGTCATGTGCCTATGCTCTGGCCAATGGGATGTGAGCGGGCGTACCCTGCGCAGCCCCGTAGGAAATACAGGCACTGTTCTCCTCTCATTTCCCCTTCCGCCTGCGGGACTGTAGTCTTGAGAGTGGAACCATGGCAGATCCAGGAGGCGGAGATCTTAACAGAGAGACAGCTTGGCCCGGCCTTATTAACCCAGGACTGCCCACCGCAGAGATTCTTTCCTGGGGAAGGGAGGAAAGCATTGCCCATCTTGTTTAGGTCACTGGGCCTTTCTGACGCACATATTGACTGATGATGTTGGGTCTTCTGCCACGCAGAGTGCACAGGGTCATATCAGTGGAGACCAAGGTGCCCTGTTCTGTGCCTCAGCACTGTGTAAGCCCACTGGACCTGAGGTGCAACCCCACTACCAAAGCTCAAGGGGAGCCTCAATTGACTTGGCAGTGATCTCTACCACCTGACAGAATATGACTTCAAATTACAAATGTTAAATTACAGAAAAACAAAGTAGCATTTCTTGCAAAATGAATCTGTAGACAGAGACTTACACTCTTACATGAAGTTGCTGCCCATTTTGCAGCTGAGAAAAATCGAGGCTCGAGGTTAAATAACATGTCCAGGGTCACACAGAATCGGTAGAGGTGGCAGATCACTCTACCCCACACTGCCCTCTTTGAGCATTTGTCCAGAGCCTCCTGTGTCAGGCAGAGCCTGGAGCCATGTGAGTGAGCCACACGTGGCCCCTGCCCCTATAGGACAAACAGCCTGGTAGGAGGGACTGAAGTCCATAGAAGTGACAGCAATGCAGGATGAGATACGGGGTCAAGATGGAGAGCAAAGCTCTTACCACTCTCAGAA